ACATGGCAGGTGCCTCCTAAATCATCCCTGAGTGAATATTGTGAGTTCTGTGGGAGTTCAGAGGAAAGGAGGTATGTTCTGATCTGAGTTCTGGAGGAAATCTTGATTGTAGCATTAGAATAGATCATTGGCTATCCATCACTTTTGGTATTTTGGTAAAGTTGAAGGAGGCAGAGTAAGGGATGAGCAGAAATCAACACGGAGTGTCTAGTTTAAAATGCTTTATTGAAATTGGATGCTGGTGGCTCACACCTCTAATCCCAGCTACTCAGGAGATCTGCGGATCACGGTTCAAAACCAGCCTAGGCAGGAAAGTCTGAGACTTATCTCCAATTAACTTCCAAAGAGCCAGAAGTGGAGCTGTGGCTGAAGTAGCAGAAACACTATCGAGTGAAAAAGCCAAAAGAGAGAACAAGGCTCTGAGCTCAAGCCCCAGTACCAGCACACACACACACACACACACACACACACACACACACACACAAAGTGCCAGAGTTCACCTCTTCAAAGTGTGAGATCCTGTGGCTCTAAATATATTTGGGGTGCCTTCAACGATCACCATGATCTAATTTTTGAACTTCATCATCTTCCCAAGAAAGCTCTCATTAATAACCAGACCTGTCTCCTTATCCTCTGTCCATGGCTACTTTTTGTGCCCTTGTCTATTCTGGGTACTTCATACAATATATGCTAAAGTCCCATCCAATATTGTGAAGGTACTTTTTTCTTTTTCATTTCAAGATAGTATTCCAACAAACAGACTGTTTTATTGTTGTTGTTAGTCATGGGGCTTGAACTCAAGGCCTGGGCACTGTCCCTGAGCTCTTTCCCTCAAGGCTAGCACTCTACCATTTTGAGCCACAGCTCTACTTCTGGTTTGTGAGTGGTTAATTGGAGACAAGATTGTCACAGACTTTCCTGCCTGGGCTGGCTTTGAACTGTGTTCCTTAGATTTCAACTTCCTGAGTAGCTAGAATACAGGTGTAAGCTACCAGCACTCAGCCAGATAAATCGTTTTTATTTACCCATTCATCAGTTGATGAATATTTGTATCGTTCCCCTTTTATTTGTCTGTGCATCTGTGGTGTAGACTCAGGACTTCAGGTTTACTAGACAGGTACTTCACCACTTCAGCCCCACCCCAGCCTTTATCACTTTCTTTATGGTATTCTTTGACTCATAGAGGTTTTTCAATGTTTAACAGTTTGATTTATGAGCCTTTTCTTTGAGGTTTGTATCACCTGCTCTATTTCTTACCCTGGGTGCTATTCCCCTGAATCAGGTTTAGGGTGTGGAAACTCACCCAGCTGCTAAGATCTCTGCATTTTTCTGCACAAGTAAAACTTCAATAAACTGTTTTTTTTCCAAGTATCACAATGTTTATTGATAGATACAAGTATATAAAAATCAGGGCATGAACATGACTTGATAAAGTAAGTAGACTTAATTTCAATACTATAATAAGAGGGACCAATGAACTGCTTTTTAAGTGCTGATAATATCAGCGGTTTCCTCCACTGGCTCATTCTGAGGGCTGGGGTGGGGCATACAAAGTGTCGGTGCATAACGTAACAGTGCTTAGCACCAAGTCCTGCTCCGCCTTCACTTCACCACGCTGGCCCTCACTCTCCCCCTCTGTGGAATGGCCCCCTTCCCCAGGGCCTCTGGTGAGACAGGACGCGACTTGGTGATGTGGACAGCCTCCCCTCTGCCTCCAGGAGGCCCCACAGAAGCGTGGGTCTGTGAAACAGTTAAGAGGAGAAAGAAAGCCATGAGATCCTGATGGAAGAGACACAGATTGCAAGTTCTGGGAGGGTTTGAGCACATGCCAGGAGCGGGGTGTGGGGCAGCCTGGGGGAGGCCGGCAGGGCTGGCCAGGCCTAGAAAGGCATGAAGGGGGAGTCTCAGAGATGGCCTGATGGTGCCAGGCGCTTGACGTGGCTGGACCGGTGCTCAGCCTGGGCCTGGCTGGGCAGAATCAGAGACCAGACCTGCCAATCCTCACCCCGCGTACCTCTGGGAAGACCTGTCTTCCTGCTTTTGCCCCAGTGACCCCCTCCAGACCCTTTCTCCCCAGGGGTCCCACTGAGGAAGACTTCTTTGCCTTCTCCCTGCACCGGGCCACTCTGCAACTGCTTTTCTCAGGCCTCCCCACTTCTACCCAAACCCCAACATTCTCTCCCTTCCTGGAGCAGCAAGGAAAGTCAGTCCCAGGCCTTCTACTCTGCAGGGAAGAAGGCAGGAGAAGGTTTCGCGGGAGCCTGACACTCATCCCACTGGGAGACAGATTCTCATTCAAATCTCATGTGTACAGAAGACACGCACAACTGGACCATTTCCCACACTGGACACAACCTTGTGGACCAGCATCCAACTCAAGACTCAGACCAGTGTTAGCAGCACCCCAGGGGCCCCCAGTTCCTTGCATCCCTTCTCCAGTGTTGCCCACCCTTCAAGGGAGCCCCTATCCTGACTTATAACATAGCTTGCTTTTATTTTATTTATTTTTTTTTCTTGGGTCCTGTCGTGGGGCCTGAACTCTGGGCCTGGGCGCTGTCCCTCAGCTCTTCAGCTCAAGGCTAGCGCTCTACCACTTGAACCACAGCACCACTTCCGGCTTTTTTCTTATGTGGTGCTGGGGAATAGAACCCAGGGCCTCATGCATGCTAAGCAAGCTCTCTACCACTGAGCCCCCTTCCCAGCCCATAGCTTGCTTTTAAAAAGCCTGGTTTCCAGCTTCCCATGAACACAGTCCCTGGGGGCGGAGAGGAGCCTGGTGACCAGTCTTCATGTGGGAGGCTGGGCTGAGAGGTGGCGATGCAGCCACACAACTTCTACATCTATTCTTCAAGGGCTGGACTTTTAGGTTGTTCTCAGCTTCGGGACATTTTGAGGGAAAGCTTCCAAGGACATTTTGGCTCATGTTTTCAGGAGAAAGTATAGGCCTTTGTCTACTTGTCCATCCGGGGACTTGAACATTATGTTTAGGAGGTGTGGCAACTGAACACCCCTTTCAGTGTATGTGGAAGTTCCCACTGCTCCACATTTCCCCTGACCCTGTAGCTGTGCATGCACACGTGTGTGTGCATGAGTGTGTACATGTGTGAATATGTTATAATCATCGGTGGCTTAGAACATTGGAACTTTGGTGGGAGTTTCAGATGGTATTACCAGAAAGCTCAGGAGCTATTCAGCACATGCTCTTACACAGACAGAGCATGTATAAGGTAGGCTGGGCTAAATGCATTTTCAACATGGTATGTTTTTAAATTTCATTTTGCTTAGTGCCAGACCTGGACCTTGAAGTCAAGGCCTAGGTACTGTCCTGGAACTTTTTTTTTCTCTCAATGTTAGCCCTCTACCACTTGAGCCCCAGCTCCACTTCTGGCCTTTTGGTGCTTAATTGGAGATGAGTCTCACTTACTTTCCTGCCCAGGCTGGCGTCGAACCACCATGCTCAGATCTCAGCCTTCTGAGGTCTGAGGTATGAGTCACAGGATGCCAGCTCAACATGGTATTTTAAACTCGCAATGGGTTTGTTTCTGCTCTAATTCATCAGAAGTAGACAAGTGAACTTTTTCTTCTTAATTTCCCTGAGAAAACTGACTTATCACATTATAGCTTGCTTTTAAAAAGCCTGAAAAAAAATAAAATAAAAAGCCTGGTTTCCAGCTTCCTGGGAACACAGTCCCTGGGGGCAGAGGGACTTTAATTTCTGCTTTAGTTCCGAGGGATGGGATTGAACAAAGAAAATCCAAAGCTAAAATCATGACTCTAAAATTGGATACAAAAGTAAATATTTATTAAGATGACCCCATCCCCCTGCCAAAAAGAGAAAAAAGAAGTCATGACAAATTGTTAGAGATGTTTAAAGCTTTCAGATTCTTCTGTACTTTCTGAGACTAATCCCAGTAAGGCTTTGTGTCAAATAGTTCCTGCAAACTGAACTCTCTCCCTGTTTGGAACACTTCACATCTCCCCACAACTGCCAATCCTGGGTGCATACAAGCTCATCTCCCAAAGCTTATGTGTCCTCAGTTTAGTAGGGAACAGGCCTTGCTTACCCCCACCTCCCACCATGTACCCCCTCACACCCAGCACGCAGCCCCTCCCCCAACTCTCTCCTGACCCATCTCCTCCTCAGACCTCAGCCTGAGGAGGAGACCAGCCTCCTCCTCATCCTGGCTGAGGCCACGTCATGTTACAGAGGACCACACAGCAGTTACTCCAAACCTAGCTGGCCTGGTTGGCTTCCTGGCTTCCACCATTTTCTAGCTCAGTGACCTTGGAGTTGGGTGATCAATCTCCTGGGCCACAGAGTTAAGTATCCCTGGAAAGAAGGAACTGAAAAGACCTAAGCCATAAGATTCCCTAACCAAGAAATGTTCTTCATAGATACAGAACCTGGGACATCCAGAGACAGACAGTCAGACAACAGTAATCCTTGCATCAGACAAGCAGACCTCCGAAAAGGTGCAGGTACAGTAGTCCATCACACCTGCATGCTATATTAATATGGGGCAATACTGGTCTTGAGACACATAGATTCACTAATTTGCATTTGTTAGTCTCTACTTAAGAGATACTTGAGGATTTCAGATAGGATGGGGGAAAGGACAGAACAATGCAGGACTGAAATTCACAGTGATAAAGCATTGGCCTATTTCACAAGCCTGCGGGGACCTGGGAAGAAATCAGAGAATGCTTCATAGAAGAAGTGACTTTGGGGCTAGGCATTGTAGGGTGAGTAGGAGTTTACCAAACAGGTATGGACAAGAGTAGGACACATGTAAGAGCTAGGAGGTAGACAAGTGCATTGGGCATTCCGGGGAGATGGACATTCACTGTGGCCCAAGCACCCATTGTGGGTGGAAGGGGCTGCAAATGGATGAGTCTGTAGAGCTTTGAGTGCTCAGAAAGCCTTGGGTAGGTCTGAGTGTGATCGAGCCCGCCCACCCACTCACCCACCCCATAAGAAACTCACAAAGGATGAGGCCAGGCTTGTTTGAATGTGAAAAATACTCTTATTTCAGTGCTTGCTTTTTATGGCTTAAAAGCGCATCTCTTGCCTGCCTGGAACCCCAAAGCTTTGGTACAGCTGTAGAGAAACAGCGTTGTGTTTCTATGGGACAGACATGGGGGGCTCCTCTGGCTATTCCTCTCGCTGTGAAGCAGAAAGTATTAGAGGCATTGGCGTGATCCCCCTCCCCCCTGTCCCCAGCCCCCTCTCTGGGATTCTGGGCACCCTAGAGACCATGACCAGCCCATGAATTGAGATCCTGCACTCTTCCAGTCTGAGGGTGGGGGCCTGTCATGCAGCCAGGGTGGGTTTGAGCTCTCAGCTGCCGCTCCTGGGCTGTGAGCTTGCTTCGGGGGAGGGGGGGAGACGGGGACAGGGCTGTGTTCTGGAGGCTGGGCTGGGTAGATGTGCTGGTTCGTGGCCAGCACTCACAGCTAAGGCCCTTGGGGGACCCGGGCATGGACATGAGCATCCTGTGGGTAGGACGGGGCCACCTTGGGCTCTTGCTCCCTAGAACTAGACCTGGAGGGGGGGGCTGCAGGGCGGGGCGGGGACCAGCATGGTGGTCGCAGTCTTACTCTGAGCTGTCTGGGCCTACAGAGGAAGGGCCTGTGTGGAGCAGGGAGTGGAGCCCGTGTTTATTTTTTAAGGCTAGGCCACATGGGGCATCAGAAACACAGGGCCCAGAAGGCAGTGAGCCACTTCTGTTACTGCTAATCATGAAAACATGGATGCTTTGAACAGGGAGAGTAGATTGTGGCCAGACTGGAGGCTCACACCCTGAACTCTGATCCCTAGCTTCCTACCCGTCAGCCTCTTCCCTACCTCTTTGCCTCAACTGGGCCTTATGAGATGGGTTCCCCAATAGCCAGGGCTCTGGTCCTCTCAGGTCAGGGCTGGTGTCACAGAGAGAGCACTGGACTGTGAGTCAGAAGACTGGCTCCAGCCCAGGCCCTGCATCCTCCACCCTCGCCCATGCCCACAGCCCCCGGGGCACGGAGCAGCTGCCTCCCTCTCTGAGCTCAGCCTCCTCATGCAGGAGGCAGCTCCATGCCACCACTGCTTGGGCCCCTGTGAGCCCAGTGAACCCAGGAGGCATCTGGCCCAGGACAGGGCCATGGCGATGGGGAGCTGGGTGGGAGGCTGGGAGCCAGGGCTGCTGGCCTGGGAGGGGATTGGACCAGGCCTACTCCCCATCCTCATCCAGCTCTGCTCCCCGAAGGGCCCATGGAGGCTGGGGGTGGCCGCGGGAGAGGCACAGGCCACCTTCTGGAGAGTTGAGCTCTTTGATTCAGCTAGTGGCACTCTACCCCTTCCAGCCCCCTGCAAGGCACTGCAGAGGTGCTCACACAATATTGGCGGGTGATCAAGGGCATTCCAAGGTCGACATAGCCACCTGACACAGAATATTCCTCACAGCTAAGGCAGGCAGGCTCAGAGTGCAAAAGGGGCCAGAATACATTCCCAGCCAGACACCCCCACGGCCCCACCCCGCCCTAGGGGCATGGGTGCTGGCTATCTTGCGAGAAGGGCTAGGTAGAGGTGCAGGCTCTCTGGGGCTTTGGTGGGCTGGGGCAAGTCCCTTAGGCGGGGCCGATGATGACGTTGCGATAGCCCTTCACGGCCTTCAGCTTGTCACAATCGAAGTTCACCACCAGCTTGTGCAGGCCCATGTCAAACGGTATCAGGTCCACCCTCACCTTCACTTCTTCCCCGGCTTCTACAGGGTCAGGGCTGTGGAGAGAGGAAAGGGGGAGGACAGGGGTCCCAGATCTGGTCTCCATGGCAGCGTGACGTGTGACCGAGCGGCCAGGCTGCGTGGGAGCCGAGCGCCCGGCCTTGGAGAATGGAGTGGGATGAGCGAACAGAACAGCGAGCCTCATCCACAGCCCTCCACGGGGCTCTGCTGGAATGTAGCACAGGTATATTGTGTGCCGTGTGTTAGCGTGTGTCACTGTGTGTGCATGTGTGTGCAGCTGTGTATGTGTACATGAATACACGTGCATATTGTGCACACACCTGTGAATGTGTGTACAGGTGTGCACAGGCATATGAGTGTGTGCATGTAGGTACGTGCACACACATGCCCCGTGTGTCAGGAGTCAATAAGCAGTGTATGTCTGTGTGTACAGACATGAGTCTATGAGGACACAGCCACACTGATGAGTGTACATGCGTGCGCACACACACACACGTGCCAGCTCCCTGACTGTGGGTGCCATCTCTGTCTGAAGGTGGAGCTTGGGGACTGAGGGCTGTGGTGAGGTGCAGCTAGGGGCAGCTGGGGGAGGCTCGCGTGGGGTGGGAGGTGGGCGGGGTGGTGGATGGCACCCAGGCTGCAGGCCGAGGGCTAGGAGAGGAGCGGAGCTGGGGATGGGCTGGGCTAGAGCCCAGGGGCGGAGGGTGGGTGAGCAGCACTTACACCTCCACGATCTTCTGCTCCTTGATGAGGCCAGCTCCCTCCACCGTGAAGATGCAGCCCAGCAGGGGCACCGTGAGTGGGTTCTTCAGGGCTACCTCGGCCACCAGCTTGCGGTTCTGCTTGGGTTCCCCCAGCATCTGCGGGCGGGGGAGGAGGAGAAGGGGGCAGATGGTAGGGGCAGGCACGGCGCAGGCTCAGCCCCTGCTATTCCCCATCATTTGGCCGACTCTTTGCTAAACAAAGCCCCGCCCAGCTCTGTCCCTGCCCAGCCCCACTGCTATGCCTTAGTTTCCTCATCTGGAAAAAAAATAATAACCCACCAGGCCAGGTCTCTTCATGGAGCTGCATTGTGGCTCCATGGGACTCAAGGATGGAGGTTCAAAGCGCCTCCCTTCTTCTAGGGTCTGGGCACCATGCTAGTCTCTGCCCCTTTGAAACGGTGTGATCACTGTGACCCTCTCCGGCCTTTGATTGGTTCATGGGAAAGAGATGCTGGAGAGGTGTGAGTGAGCTCAGACACACAGCACCCTCACAGCCTTCCTCTGAGTTTCCTTTATTCCTAGCAGCTGGGTCACTGTGGTGAGGAGATGGCGAAGATAATAAGCAATCAGGTATGGAGTATTGGTTTGTTTGTTTGTTTGGGGGGGACAAGGTCTCATTATGTAGCCCAGGCTAGCCTGGAATTCTTGATCTTTCTAGTGCAGGGATTACAGGCATGGACCACGCAGCCCAGCTCTCAGTCACACTGTTATCATGCCCTTCTAATGAGCTGCGGATGGTTCTAGGTGCTTCCTGTGGACCTGCTTAACACACTTAGAATGCTAAGACACCTCAAGTGCTCTCATGAACCCCACCTTACAGACGGGTACACTGAGGCCACAGAGGTGAAGCCATGTGCCCGAAGCCCTCCAGGCACTCAGATGCACGTTTGTGTGTCTAGCCACCCTTACCATGTCCCCGGTAGCACTGCCCAGGGCTTGGGGTCCAGCCCCACATCTCAAGCCCTGTGATTCTAGATCCAAAATCCCACATGAGGGTCCCATCTGCTTTGAGAGTCCAGGAGTCATTCCTAGAAGCCACAAGCCCCAGTGTGGCCTTGAGATGCTTTTCTTCCATGAGGGCTTCCTAGGACTTGAGGAGCCCGGGAGAGGCCAAAGGTCTTAAGGCTGTGAGGACACGGGCGTTGCTGCTCTCCCAGGTCTGAGCTGTTCTGGCACCTGGCCTGCCCTTACCCGGATCTTGATTTCAGGATTCTCCAGGTAGAGGTCCCTCTCAGCCAGCAGGTAGTTGTTGGCAGCTGGTTCGATGAGGAGGCCTCGCACCTTGATGAGGTTTGACTCAGTCAGGTAGTCGCTGTATTTCTCGTACAGGATGCGAAGGGGAATGCTCTTCTCTGCAGAAGGGGAGAGAGAGGGTGCTGTGAGGACTGGATCCTTGCTGCCTCCTTGTCTCCAGAAGCACAGAGAAGGAAGAAGACATTTAAGGTCATAGCACAGGCTCTCCAGGGGATGCCCAAGAAGGCGCAGGGAAATGTGGCAGCACAACAGGTAGGGAATACTCCAACTCACCCAGGCCAGGGTTCTAGTCCTTCCTCTGCCCTTTCTAGCAGGTAGTCTGTGCAAGCCTCCTTCCCTCCCTCCCAGGAACTGGACAGTGAGGGTCTGAGAAGGCTGGGAAACACCTGGCACTGTGGAGCTGCCGCTTGGGGGAACAGAGAGGTAGCTGGCTGCAGGACACTGTGCTTCTTGGGTCTTCTGCTTCATCTTTGCAATAGCCCAAATGGCACTGTGTTTGCAAATGAGGAAACTGAGGCTTGAGCAGGTGTGCCCACGCCCACACACAGCTGGGCTGGCCATCGGGATCTTCAGTCCCCAGCAGCATGACCACCCTGCAAGCAAACCTACCTTCCTGGAGCTGGACCTGTTTTACAAGGGCAGAGCTGGCTGCACAGGAAGTACTAAGCGCTGGGGACCGCTCCCAGCCCCCGCCCCCCCCAGCTCTGTTCAAGCCCTGGCTGGCTGGGTGGCCCTGGGAAGATGGATGGCCTCCCTCTCGGTTGCCAGTGACCTCCGGCACCTGATGACGAGGAGAAAGCTAGGGCTGCAGCAAAGCCACACAGTGGTGAGGGGCCGAGAAGGAAGCGCTGGGGCCAACCCCTGGGCTAGACCACAGAGCAATGGTGTGGCTTTAGCCTCCTGCCATTTTCTGGCCAGAACAACTGAGACCTGAGGGGCTGGCGTTGGCAGAAGACAGAAAGGGACAAGGGAAGGCGCGTGGACTTAAGCCTGGCGCCTCACTCAGAGACCCTGGGCAAGTCCCCCCACCTCTCTGTCGTTGTCCGGAGCTGTGTGGCCTGTCCTGCCCTCCATGCCAGGACGCCACTCCCGCAGCCCAGCCAGTCACCACTTTTCATGTGTCATGATTTACACATTGCTTTTCTTTCAATGAACTGGCTTTATATGTTAGCCCTTTCCCCCTCCCTCCTTTTAAGGAAACACTTCATCACTACACGCAGCAAACATGTGTCACTCACTCGTCACAAGCAGAAGGGACCCTGGGAAGAATAAACACATGTGCAGATAGCTATGCAGCTGCTGCTGACGGCTGGAGGCTCAGACAGAGATCCGAACTTCCAGCGACGGAAAACGATTAGCAGGGACCAGGGAGCCAAAACCCAATTAGCCCCCACTGGGTCCGATGGCCGTGGCCCACTCTGGAAAGCACCGCTCCGGCCTCCCCAGTCCTATCAGCCCAGCGTGCGTCTGCCCAGCCTCTGACCAGATGACGTAAGCTGAGGGCGAAAAGCAAACGTCCATGCCAAAAAACACAAAAGGAAGGGAAAATCATGCATTAAAAAAAAAAAGACAAAAAGGGAGGGACAGTGACCAGCTCAGGAGCTGGCGAGCAAAGCGGAAACCCTGACCAGCCTCTCAGGAAAGAAGCAAACATGGGCCTCCAATAGCTGACTTTTCCAGGAGGCTGAGGCTGGGCCAGGCCTGGGCCTTGCAAAACCACCATTCACAGCCCAGTGACCACAGTTTGGCCTCGGGCCCCAGGCTGGCTGGGAGGAGGAAACAAACGTGGCTGGCCTCAGTCACTCCTTGTTCTAGAAGGTACCCTAGCTATATTTCCACTGACCCACCTATTTGGTGAAGAGGCGAGGGATGGGGTGAGGACAAAAGAGCAGCCCCCTATGGAGACTATGGGTGGGACTAAAGCACTGCCCAGCTGTCCTGGGCCTGGCTTCCTGTAAATCCTCTCATGGAAATTCCCAGATCATATCATCAAAGTATGAGGCTGCGTGGGAGAGAGTCTGTCTCAGGTTGACTTGGGCTGTGGACGGCTTCTTGGCTCAGGTACTTCCAGCCAGAGGGACATAGATAGGACCTGTGTCCTTACCTCCCTCTCTCTGCAGCTTTGTCCCCAGAAGGCAGGACGTCCTCTGCCAGGCACCCCCCACCCCGGGATGACAAGGACAGAGACAGGCCCAGGCGAACCCTGTAGAGCAAGGCCGAAGCGCCACGGTATCTGGGAGGCAAAGGGGACCCCATAGAGGTATCTCAGGCCCGGGCTCAAGTTCCCCTCATGATGCCCAGTGCAAGGAAGAATGATTGAGCTTGGACAGAGCAGGGGTGCACAGAGATGGAGGGGGCTTGCGGGTCCTTTAGAGACAAGCAAATGGTGACCTAAGGCCTCCATGAAGAGAAATGCCCCAGGGCCACAGCCAGCCACTAGGTGGCAGCAACAAGAAGCAGGTTGTCTGGTCCACACGCACCTGTCCAGAGGAACCTCCATGCCATCAAGGTGGCAGAGACCCACGGAGCCCTGCACAGCACCGGAAAGGCCCTGGGGTGTCTCAGACTCCCCTCTGCTCAGCGGGAATGAAGCCCACCATCCCTGCCGCAACACTTCCCAGGTGTTTCCTGAGCACACATCTGCTCTGAGCCTTCACAGGTGCCAATCAACCAGGTGGGCGCATTGCCACTGTGGCTGGGCTGTGGGAAGCTGGCAGAGGCCGGAGTCAGGCAGGTCGGGCTGGCTCCAGCATACCTAGTCCTGGCGCCGAGCGAGGGGCTCTGCTCCCCAGGAGATGGCCATCACAAGGGCTCTGCCAGGCCCCCACAGAGGGTCTGCTCTAGAAAGGGGCCCAGGAGAGAAAAGCCTAGAGGTGGCAGGCACATAAAACACCACAGATCAGGGCCCCAAACCCAAGCTTGCTTTCCACCAGCCCTGGGGCCAGGTTTGGAGCCAGAATAGAGGAAAGGAGAGATTCCTGGCTTGACAGGGAGCAGCAGAGGAGAAAGGGAGGACCACGTTCCCCAAAGAACCCGCTGTGTAGTGCTCTCTACCCTCTGCGCAGATCCTCGTTTGGAGGAAGAGGTGAACACCTAGGCAAACAACCTCCAGTATTAGATCCTGACTCCCAAGAGGTTCATGGAGTCAGGGGTCACAAGAAGATGAGATGAAACAAAAATACAACATTTGCATTCATGGCTCACACCTGTCATCCTAGCTACTCTGGAGACTGAGATCTGAGGGTCACAGTTCAAAGCCAGCCTAGGCAGGAACATCTGTGAGACTCTTATCCTCCAATGAGCAAAAACAGCTCAGAGATAGCACCTAGCCTCTGAGGGCCTACATGTGCACACGTGCACACGCGCGCGCGCACACACACACACATACACACATCCCTACAGTTGCTCCGCAGCCTGGTTCAGACCTCAGACCTGCCACTTCCTCACTGTGCCACCTGGGGGAAGTTACTTAACCTCTCTGTGCCTCTGGGATACAATCCATGTCCATCTGCCACAAGCATTCAATGCCTGGTATTCCTAAAGCACTGAGTGGGCACCATGCCAGCATCCATGAGGTGCCCAGGGTGATTCCCACCACACCGTTAGCCCGCCCGCTGGGACCCCAGAGCCTTACCACAGAAGGGCTCTAGGGTCAGATCGAGCGGGTCCATGGTGCCACACTCGGGCCCCAGGACCCCATTGTAACTGACGATGCGGGCACAAAGCAGGAGGCGTGTGTCACGACTCTCGGAGGCGTTGTTGGTGATATGGGCAAAGACGTCGAAGTCGCTGCCTACAGCCATGCTCTGGCCCACGCGGATGCGCATGTCCACCCCCTCCTGCACCTCCACCTTCTCCTCGAGCCTGTTCAGGTGGTTTGCCTTCGTGAAAGCCTCCCTCTCCTCCGGGGAGCCTGCAGGGAGAGGAAAGGAAGAGGGAGCCGTAGGGGAATGGGTGGGTCCGGGCCAGCTGGCTCTCAGAGCAGCCCGGAAGGAGCTCCTTTCCCTGCATCTCTGTACCAGAAGGGAAAAGAAGATCCGGTTCATTTCTGCACATGTGAACTGTGTGGAGACCCAGCACCACACAAACTTTCCTCTGACTGCTCCTTCCTCAGCATGTTTTCTTTCTCTTTTTTTAATTTTTTGTTGGTCATAGGGCTTGAACTCAGGGCCTGGGCGCTGTCCCTGAGCTCTTCAGCTCAAGGGGAGCGCTCTACCACTTGAGCTCAGGGCTACTTCCAGAGATAAGAGTTTCAGGGCCTTTCCTGCCCTGGCTGGCTTTGAACTGCAATCCTCAGATCTCAGCCTCCTGAGTAGCTAGGATGACAGGTGTGGGCCACCAGCACTGGCCCTTAGCATGTTTTCTGTTGCTGTAGGAGCCAAGATGGTTTTATCTTTAAGCCACACCCAGTGCCTTTAACAGTCCCTGACACACAGGAGGTGCGAATTTAATACAAACTTTCTTGCCTCTGATTGTTTTCACAGGGATTCCTTCCACCTGAAATCTGTTTCCTCCTCGTTTCTACCGTTCATTTCCTTGCATTCTACTTGCTATTCTTCTTTTCTTTTTTCCCACCTGTGTTATTGGGTGCATACGTGTTTTTCTATCAAACCAACAGCTCTGTCAGGCCCTTGCAGCTTATACTTGAAATCCTAGCCACTCAGGAGGCAGAGACTGGGAGGACTGTAGTTGGAGGATAGCCTGGGTGAACAAGAACCCTATCTCATCCCATAGCTGGGTACAGTGGTGCACACCTGTCATCTCGCTATGGTGGGAAGTGTAAATCGGAACATCACAGTCTGGGCCAGAAGAGGCCAAGAAGCAAGAGCTTATCTCAAAATTAACCAAGAGCAGCAGAAAGATGCCTCCTTCTGTGTTGTGATGAACCCATCTCATTATGGTTAAGGTGCTCTCTCTCTCTCTCTCTCCCCATTGCTCTTGAGCCTTCCCTATCCTCCTGCAAGCTCCCTCCTCCAGCTGTAAGTCAGACTCTGCAGGAAGGAAGCCAAGCTCCAAGCTCCGGGAACTCTCCTCTAGGTCTTTGCTGGACCTCCAAGTCCCTCGGCACAGACTCAGAGCAAGGAAAAGCATGGGGCTAGCCATTGGGAGTTTCAGATCCTGTTTCTGATGTACTGCGTAACACATAATAAACAGCACAGACATTACTAACTTTCATTTTTTTTGTCTTTTTGGTGCCAGTCCTGGGGCTTGCGCTCAAGGTCTAGGCACTGTCCCTGAGCTTTTTTATTTATTTATTTTTCTCCTCAAGGCTGGCACTCTACCACTTCCAGCTTTTTGGCAGTTAATTGGAAATAAAGTCACGGATTTTCCTGTCTAGGCTGGCTTCAAGTCACCATCCTCAGATCTCAGCCTCCTGAGTAGTTAAGATTACAGGTGTGACCTGCAGACATGTCTGGCCTAACTTTCCTCTTGATGCATGCTTTCCTGAACAACACTTGCCCTTTGTAGTTTTACTAAGAGTTAAACCAGCCCCCAAAAAGTGAGGTTTGAAAAAGACCAGACTGGTGGGGGGAGAGGAGGAAGTGGAGGAAGTAGAGCTTCCTTTCCACCTCAGCAGCAAGTACCTGGAATTACAGATGTGCACTCCAGCACCCAGCTGCCACGGAATCCACGGCATAGAGAACTGTTTTCCTTAATAAATCACACCCTATGACTCGCTTCCTATGTTGACACTGTTTCTAAGGAATTTCCTATGATCCCTGGTATATACTAGTTGCACACACGCACGCACATACGGGCACAGGTCTATAAGGACCCGCAGCCCAGCTGAGCCCAGGCTCCGGTCCTCATCCCCAGGGAGGACTCCAGGCTGCAAGCGTGGCACCCACCTTCTGGGTACTTGTAGGTGTGGGTGATGTCCTGGCGGTCATCACGGCCCACGCTCTTGGTGCTGATCTTCAGCCCCACCACCAGGGAGCGGTTGACGGACTTGTGCAGGGAGCCATCCTCCTGCCGGATCCAGTCCACCACATCGGCGTTGACCTCGGCGAAGACGAAGGGGGCATCATACTTGGTGCTCAGGTCGCCCTCTTTGATGGCACGCACGGGCACGGGGCCACAGCAGTACGTCCCTGACAGAGGAAATGGGGGCGGCAGTGTCACCCGACCCAGCAGAGAGCCTCAACATCCCTGGACACAGCACTTAGGGCCCAAGTCCGAGGGGTGCTGATGATGGCACAGACATAAAGCTCTTCGAATCTACTAAATGCGATACCAGTATCTGACAAACAAAGCAGCCATGCGCTCCCAGACACCCCCATGGACCCTGGGAACCCGGTGTGAGGAGGCTCTGTCTCATTCTGGCTGAGCTGGGAGGGGAATGCGTGGGGCTGTGTGGACAGGAGTGCTGGGCCAGCCCTCTGTGGCTCCCTGTCTCCCACTGTCCCAGTTACCACCAGAAAACCAGAAGTGGCGCTGTGGCCAAAGTGGTAGAGCACTAGGCCTGAGCAAAAGCGCTCAGGAAAAGCACCCAGGCCCCAAGGAAAGAAAGAAAGAAAGAGAGAAAGAGGAAGAGAGAAAAAGAAAGAGAAAGAAAGGAAGGAAGAAAGAAAGAAAGAAAGGAAGGAAGGAAGGAAGGAAGGAAGGAAGGAAGGAAGGAAGGAAGGAAGAAAGGCCAATTTCAATTCGTGCACACATATGCTTACATAGCATGCATGCATACATGTTTGCAGCACACACAGGCAACTGTACACATATGCTCACATGTGCACACCAGCTCACCTGGCATGTGTATGTACACACATACCACAACGCACACACAACACACATGCACAGCACACACAGTACAGCACAAAACATGCACTTGCACATAACGTGCACAGGTTCATAAACACACACTCACACATACAGACCACACATGTTCACATAGGGGTGCACCGATCATGTATCCACACCACACCGATGCATGCACATGCTTGCAGGACATGGGTGCACACGTACACAAACGTTCACTTTGAAATTGCCAGAGGCTGTGCGTGAATGAGAATCACACTTGTTTTAAAAGATTTTTTTTCCTCATACATTCTAGAGGAATCCTGTTTGGAGAAGAGAAACAAGGACTCCCTGCACCCACGCCGCTGTGTGCCCCGATGGGGTCTTGGCTTGGAGCCCTAGCTCTGCCACATTCCACCCGTGTGCTGGGGGCTCTCCACGCCACTCCTGAGTAAGGGGCAGAGCCAGGACTACCCACCTTCGCTCTTCTCCTGGGGCGTGGGGTCGATGGCCTGCCACCCCTCATAGCCAGGTTCTAGGTCTGGCCTGGTCATCCATGACTCCACCCAGCAGTGGAAGTTCCTAGTGGAGAACCGAAGACCATCACCTGCAGGGCCCACCCAGCCCGGGGCCTTGAGCCCCACGCCCTCCTGGCTGCCCGCACCTGTGGCAGCATCTCCCCTCTGCTCCCTGCATCCTTTCTCAGGTCGCCCCTCTACCCGCAGCCTCCGTCACTCCTCCAGCTGGCTGACTCCCAATTTCTTGGCTCTATCCTTCCTTTTCCCCATCATGGCTTAGGATACCTCCTCACTCACCTAGACCACCCCAGACCCCTGCCCTCAGCCGTCCGCAGCCCCTGGGGAGCAGTGTCCCACAGCCCCGCCTCCAAAGCTGTGAGTGACAAGCAGGCACCCTGGGAACCAGCCCAGGCTCTCCACCTGACACGGGACCCCTGGCCACCTTCCAGGGCAACTCCCTGCTGCTGGGGGAGGGGGGGCGCCCAAGCATGGCCCCCTCGGCCCGTGCTCACGTCTGCCTCACCTCCAGGGCACATTTCAAACCCGTCCCTCTTCCCGGAAGCGCCCGGCTCTCCTCACCAGATCATCTCGCTCTTGTTGCTCTCAAGCTCCCCGAACTCGTTGCGGAAGTACTCAATGAGCAGGTTGCTGTTCTGGTCGTGGGCCGAGTTGTAGTTGGTCACGACGCGAGTGGGGATGCCAAGGCACCGCAGAACTGGGGGAGGAGGAGAAGGGGTTCCACACACCGCCAACGGCCTGGAGACCGCGGCCTGCCTGCCCACCTGTACCCAGGTGCCCCTGTGCCCCTGTCCAGGCAAGAGGGTGAGCACAGCCGCTCTTGGCTGAACAATGGTGCTCGCCTCTGGTCATCCTGAGTCCACTGTGTCCCTCTTTCATCCTTCTAAAATGCAAAGCTGATGTCAACGCTGCTCTGGCAAATCTCCAGTGGCTCCCATGGCCCTGGTGCCTGTTCACCGCTCTGCACGCTTTGCTGCAGCCTCATGGACCTCCAACACCCCACACACCTGCTAGCCTCAGGGCCTTGGCAGTGCTATCCCTCCTCCCAGAAGGCAGCGGCCCCACCCAGGCTGCCCACGGTGTGCCTTCACAACAGGATACAGGGCATCTCTATCACTCAGCTATGCAAGGATGTGAACAAACAGATGGGAGAAAACAGTCCCAGTGGGGGCAGGCCAGGGTCCTTGTGCTGGGCGGGTGGGAGACCCCCTCACCCCCATCCGTCTAAAGCACTGTGGGCTCAGAAAAAGGCCGAAGCTGCCTTGAAAGGCTAGAAAATGTAGGATATGAACTAGCACCTGCTGACCAAGCTCAACTCTGCAGACTTTGCCTCCACGCAGGGAGTTCAAAGGACTCCCAGGGGGTACAACTGGTGAGGGAGGGGGCAGGGGAAAGAGAACTTTTAATCCTCCCTGCATTTTCTTTTTGGTGGGGTCAGGGCTTGGATCAGAACCCAGGGCCTTGCCAGGCAAGGGCTTTATAATTGAACTACAATAAACCTTTTCCCCCCGCATGCTATGACACTATAAAAGTGAACTTCTCACACTAAGCCAAAAGAAAGTCAGGATCTAAAAGGTAAAATGAGAAACACCCCTCCCCTCCAACAAGAGCCCCCCTCCCCCCTGTAGGTGTCATGGTTGGGACTGTGTTTTGTTGGAAGCTGGGGGAGAGGGGAGAGGCGGGGCAGGGTATGACCTTTGCCCTCTGGAGGCCACTGGCCAGCACAGAGCTTCCTGGAGGGTCCTGGGTTGCAGCCAGGCCATGTAGGGGTGCTGGCTGTGCACCATCACCTCCTGCCTGGTCCCCAGGCCTCTGCCCAGGAAAGGGACCCCAGAGTCCTCAAGGGAGGCATGGGTCCTGACCCCTGACCCAGGCTGGTGTCCCAGAGGTCTTACTGTCCCATGCCAAGGCCAGGAGACTGCCCCAACCCCAGACACACTGGGCCCAGAGCCTGCTGGGTGACCTTGAGCCAGCCACTTCCCCTCTCTGAGCCTTTGTTTCCCCCCTGAGTAAGAGGAGCTAAGAATAGCAGCATGTTCGGATGTCCTGGTGATTCAGGAAAAAGCCATGGGTGTGGGCAGTGTCTTCTGCCCAGGGCAGTAGCTGGAAGGCAATGGGGAACAGCAAAGTGCCCCATGTCTGAGGGAAAAGGCAGTCCAGTCAATGCCCAGTGAGTCACGCATGTGAGAAAATGCCCAGGGAAGCAGCTGAGAGGGCCGGAGCACTAGCACCCCACTACTGGACTAAAAGGCACGTTTGGGTCCCAGGAGCTCCCTGTAAGTCGGATCCATGAGCCCCGTCTCCACAGCCTGCGTGAGGACACAGATTTGCAAACACCAATTCTCTTGCTCAAGTCCTCCCAGCAGTGAGGTTAGAGGCCAGCTGTGCCTCACACCCACTCAGTCCCGCCAGGGCCTGAGTTGAATGAGTTTTCCCAGTGGCCCAGGAGAACAAGGACGCATGGGAGAGCCAGGCTGTGCGGTTTCTCCAGGAAGCCCGTGGGAATTCCTGGGAGGAGGCCTTTTAGGCCTCTTGGTGGGCAGGGTCTGGGTGGGGAGTTGGCCCAGAAAGGGGAATTCAGAGTCATCAGGGAACAGGAAATCAGGGCTGAGAAGGTGGGGGAGGTGGCGAGTGGGGGAGATGGAGCCTGGCTCTCCACTCAGCCTGTCAGTATGGTGGCCAGGCTTCGGGGCTTCTGGAGACCCTTGTCTGGGATTAAACACAGGCCCAGAAAGGCTGAGCCCTCCACATCAGCCCTGAGCCCGCTGAAGTACCAGGCAGTGGAACAATGTGTTCTGTGCTGGAACTCGTGGGATTGGACACCCCTTCATGCTAAAGGCCGCGATCGGGCCCCCCTTCATCCTACAGGAGAGGAGTGGCCCGAGGCAGGAGCAGAACCAGGGTCCCCTGGTTCCCACTCCGGGGCTCCCTGGCGGGTGCCAGCCCCCCACCCCTAGGCTGCCCCCCCCACACCCAGCAAGCAGCGCACCTGTGCAGGCCACGGCGGCGAAGACCCAGCACTGGCCGTACTTCACGTGCTGGCAGCCATGGTCCTTCCAGCGGCGCAGGATGTCCACGCTGCCGATCCAGGACATGGGGCTCACCCCGTCCCCGTAGTTGTTATCCCAGCGCCCCAGGAGGACGCCCTGGTCGTCATTGCAGTTCACCTGCAGTGGGCGGGGCCGGGTGAGGGCGGGGCCTCGCGGGGTGAGGGCGGGGCCTCGCGGGGTGGGACTCACTGGGCAGGGGCGGGGCCTTTCCGGGTGGGTGGGGCATAGAGGGGTGGGGCTTGAGGGGCAGAGGTCCTCATGGGCTGAGGGCGGGGCCTCGCGGGGTGGGCAGGACCTAGAGGGGCGTGGCTCGTGGGACATGGGCGGGGCCTCGCACGGTGGGCGGGGCCAGGAGCATTCAAGGACAGGGCAAGGTCAGAGGCAGGGAAGGGAGGTGCAAAGGCACCCGGGAGCTACAGGTCATGGGACGTGGGGCCCAGGACATGGCTGGGGCTGGAGCCCAAGGCTTGGAAGCCAGAAAATGGGAGCGTGGAGGAAGTGCGGGCCCATCCATGGCTTGTCCCCAGGGCTGGGGACAGGGTGGCCCCTGACAAGCACCCACAGCCCGCAGCCCGCACTCACCATGGCGCTCACCACCCGGCCCAGGTAGATGGGGCTGCTGCGGCGCGCGCAGTCGCGGCTGGAGTCCTTCAGGAACTTGGGGTTGACATCCAAGAGCGTCAGGCAGGTGTCCAGAATCCTGTCCTCAAACTGTCGGAGAAAGCACGAGGGGAATAGGGGGGCGGGGAGGACTGAGAAACAGCCTCCTCCAGGAAGCCCGCCTGGCTGCCTCGCCAGCTGCAGGTGCCCTGCTCCCTTTCACCAGCCACCAGGGAGCCCCCTGAGAGGCCAGCGGCCGCCCCCGGCCCAGAGGGAGTGGGGGGACAGCAAACAGGACAAGCGTGTGATGGGGACAGGAGAGGGGTGCACCTGCTACCAGGGCCTGGCCGTGGTGACCTGGGGAGGGGGGACACACCGGGGACAGTGTGCTCAGAGCCCCTTAGGGCCCTGCCCCTCCCCCCTTGCCCTTTATCCAGCCAATTCACTGCCCTGGAAACCCTGACACTCAGATTCCTGACCACACAGCCCCCTCCTCCCTCCAGACCTGGCCCCCCGCACCGCGGCAAAGGGAAAGGAGGCCGATCGTGTTTCAGCCTCACCCAGAGGAGAATGTGGCTTCTGCCCACAGCCCACAGGGACGTTCATACTGCACTCTGGACGTCCTCTCTGACCTCGTCTCACCACTCGCACCCACATTCTGCCTCAGGGCCTTTGCATCTGCGGTTTCATTTGCCTGGAATGTGCTTCCTCCTGCTCTACGGCTCACCGGTTCTCTTGAAAGTTAAGTGTTACGTCTATCAGACTCGGAAGCCTCTCCTGTCACCTTCCGTGGCACCGCACAGCTGACCTGTCAGGACTCTCCTGCCGGCCTTGGTTTTCGTCTTGAGGTCTAGTCTTGGACTGGGCTTGCCACAGCCACCCTCTGTGGGGCAGAATCTCTCCCAGGGCTTGAACTCTTTTGTGGGTTCCATCTGACTAAGGTTCAGGACTCTGTTGGCTTTTCCGCCTCATTCCTTGGGGCGCCCTCCCTGAGCGGGAACATACTTCTCCATCAGAACATACAGCTTCCCTCCCCTGAGTGCCACCCTCACTGCTCCCGATGCCTAGTGTGAAGTATACCCACCTTCTCCCATGACAAACTCCTACTTGCTCTTCAAAGCCCAGCTCAAATATCCCCTCCTTAAAAAGCCTTCCCTGCTCGCCCTCCCCGCTTTCCCTCTAGGTCTTTCCACCCTGGATTATGAAGCATGTCCAGGGCAAGTCCCTCGGGATGGCACAGGGCTGGGTTCAGGGCAGGACTTAGGAAAGGCCAGAGAGACTTGGCTTTGTGCCCTTTGTCTCCAGGGGACACAGGAGCCCGCGGCTTCCCGGTGTATTCTGCACACCACTCCTTTGCTGTCCCACTGCAGCCTCAGGGCTGCCAGGAACCTGTTTTTGCCTTGATCCTTTACGAGGAAGCTGCAGTCAGCTGGGGCCTGAGACCACCCAGAACTTCCCAAGGGTCTGGGGGCTCCTGGAGGCCTGGACTTGTGACTCCAGCCCACGGGCTGCCGGGAGAAGCTGCGAGGTGAACCCCCCCCCCAGACATCCCCAGGCCAAAGGGGATGCCCAGGTTCTGTTTTGTGAGTCTTGGCTGGGCCACAGAAGAAATGAGAGCTCTGGTGGACGGAACCAGCCTCATCGGTCTGTCTGTCTGTCTGGGCAACCACAGGACAGGAAGGAGCCATCTGGCTGAGCCCAACCCAGCCTAGATTACAAAGCCATGCCTGGGTTTACCCACAGATTTGTGTGGAATGATAAACAGTTGTTTCTTTTGCCAGGCTTGTTTGTTACTGAGCAGGAGCTGACTGATACATGCAGATGGGTGGTCACTGAGCAAGCAGGATCAGTATCCCTGGGAATCTGGGAGAACTCCCTCCCACCCGGCCCCCGCCCCCCACCCCCTCCCCCAGACCTGCTGAGTCAGAAACTGCTGCACTTGCTCTTGCAGCGTCTCCCCAGGACTGCAGTGCACTGCGGGTTCAATACTCACTGTGACAGACAAGGGTTCTAAGCCTTCCCTTGTCGCACTCCTCACGCATGGAGAGTGGTCTCCAAGTGTGCATATCGGACCAACATAATCCCCACCGCCCCCCCAGTGTCCCAACCAACTTCACAGCTCCAGAAGTCTCCCCACATTCTCTCCCCCCACCCTTGAATCCTTTGCTGTGTGATCTCAGGCCAGTCTCCAACCTCTCTGGGCTTTCAGCCATTTCAGGATCTTGGCATGTCTGACAGTCTGAGCCAGGTGGTGCTGCCACCTGATCATGCCGTGGTCTCTGTGGTTGCCTGATGTCCCTCCAGGTGGCCGTGAGGGGCAGGCGTGACCTACCTGCCCAAAGTTCCACGGCACACTCTTGATGAACTTGGCTGAGCCCTGGTAGATGAAGCCCTGCTGGTTGAGGACATACTCTTGCCGCTCCGCCTCTGCATTCAGGTAAACAGCATCCGCTATGGGCAGAGAAAGGAGCTTTGGCTCGGGGTCTGGTGGGGCCCAGGGCCCCTGCAAACATGGCAGCCAGGCTTCCAAGTCTTCAGGCCAAGACAACCTCTCCTAGGACCTGAGACGCTTAGTTTGGAAAATGAGTCGTCAAGCCAGGTGCCGTAGCACACACCTGTAATCCCAGCTACTCAAGAGGCAGGAGGTAGGAGGATTGCTATCTGAGGCTGGCCCGGGTAAAAGCTTAAAACCGAAATGAAAACAAAAGGGCTGAAGTGGTGGGGCTACTTGGCTAGCAAGCCCAAGCCTGGAATTCAACCCTAACAAGTCTAGTTCTATGTCAATAAGACGAGGTGCCACCCTCCCATTTAGGGACCTGACAACCCACACAAGAGACTGAGCACTGAACTAGGAGCCAGGAAATCTGTGGTTCTGACTCTTGATTGCTCTTATGCTCCGGGAGGTCACTCTGCCTTCTCCACTCACCTCACAACCTCGCTGAGTCGGCCCCAGAGATGAAAGGCGGGTTGGGAACTAAAGCCCTGAGCCAGTGGGCAAAGAACAGGAGTCACAGTGGAGCGGAAGGCCAAGAAAGGCCACCATGGCTCCGGGGAGGGAATCCAGGAGGGCTTCCTGGCAGAGGAGAAATCTGGACAGCTTCTTGGGAAATGACGACCAAAGGTGTAGACCCTTGAAACTTGGTGGCCAATACTACATAGAAGACCAGAGAGAGCAAGCTGTGGCCACTGGCAAATTCAAAGCGCTGGGTTTGCTGGGACTTCCAATGGGAGAGTCAGGAGAGGGCTAAGGAAGTTTTAACTGAGGCTGGAAAGGGGAAATCCAGAGGAGCACAATAACTTTAGCGGGCCCTGGGCCTCCTTCCTTTCTAAATTCAGTTCAATTATTGTCCACCTGGTCTATGGACAGATACCTTAACAGGATGTGCTTAAAACACAGGCTTTAATTAAAATGTTCTTTTTTTTTCTGAGTTTCAAAGCAATAAGAACATCTTTCATGAGCTGCTCAAGTATGGCGGGCACAGGGAGGAATGCCTGCTGGAGGAATAAAAGTTGGCTAGAAGAAACCTGTCCAGTTACCAGGAGAGTTGGCCTGGAAAGGGGTGCAGCACCCCACTCCCGTAGCAGAGAGAAGAGGGGCTGAGAGTCCTTTGCCCGCTGCTCTCTGACCACCCTGAAAATCCACTGACGTTACTGAGCTGCGTGGTCCTGGGCGGGCTGGGTAGCGGGCGTGGGAGAAATCAGGAAAGAGAAAGCAAAAGCCACCCAGGCTTCCCACGCTGGCGTGAGAACATGGCTACTCGTCCAAAGGAAATCAAGATAGTGCCATCCCGGATTCCAGGGGCCCAAAGCCTCAGCCAGCTGCCACTCCCCTGTGGTCTCCAAGCGCGGGGACAGGAGGGTCCCCTTTCCAGGAAGAGCCCACCGCTTTTCTACTCAACCAGAACAATTTCCTCCCGTCCCTACCCCAGCCAGCTCCTGGCCCCTGCCCAGCCCAACTTCCTGCCCCCTGCCAGACTGTCAGGATGGAGGTCACTTTAGTCCCTGTGGCCTCAGGTCACTCTAACCCATGGGGCAGGGCAGACCCAAGGAGGAGGACAGGGGGGGGGGGGACAAGCCCGGGAGGAGGACCTCAAAACCCTGCTGAGGGTGGGGCCCCCACAGAACTACAAACTAGTGTGCCTCGGAGGCCCCAAGCCCCAAGCAAGCCACAGCAGGCCCCAGCGAGGCTGCATCTGTCCCAAGACATCACTGCAGGTGGCTTAGGGCCATGTGGCTGATGGTGACACCCAGACCAGCCACCAAGGAAGACCCCAAGGCCATGGGTGGGACACTAATGTCAAGGCCTCTAGACCCTGAGAAAAAATAGAAGAGCCCGCGATCCTCGCTACCTGAGCAGCAGACAGCGGGGAGCTCAGTTCAAGGACTACCCATTACAAAAGTTTTAGAGACTCCATCTGACCTCAGTGATGCAGGAAACATAAAGTAGGAGGGTTGGACTCAGGCCAGCCTGGGTAGAAAGCAAGATCTGACCTTGAAAGTAGCCTCCCAAGTACAAACTGAGGGGTGATACCCCATAAGGGGAAAAGTCTTTCAAATAGTGTCTCAGCTTCTCTTTTATTTTGTGAAAACCTCTCTGTACAGCTACTTAATAAGAATAATAAAGATGCTTTTGCATCTTTTTTTTTCTTTTTGGCCAGTACTGGGGCTTGAACTCAGGATCTCGTGTGTCCCTTCGTTTTGTTTTGTTTTGTTTTGTTTTTTCACTCAAGATTGATGCTCTACTACTTGAACCACAGCTCTGCTTCAGCCTTCTTTGCTGGCTATCTTGGAGATAAAGAGTCTCATGGACTTTTCTGCCTGGGCTGACTTTGAACCGTGATCCTCAGATCTCAGCCTCCCTTTAAGTAGCTAAGGTTACAGGTGTGAGCCACTGGTATCCGATTCACCTGTCCTATTTAGAAGTGAAAGTCAAAATCCTCAAAAGAGAAGTTTTTAAGAAGCATCCTGGTGAAGTAGATTATAACATGCCCCAAAAATAGAGAAGAAAAGAGAAAGGTTGGGCCCTTGGGGAATGGCTGCCGGGGGGGGGGGCAGGCAGAGGTTCTGTCCCCCGACACTGGAGGACACTGCTGGCCAGAGCAAGGAGGAGGCTGACTTCTGACTCCACTGCCTGTTAGTTACTGGGTGGGAGGGGTGAGGCGGGGAGGGGAGTCCCAGCCCCTGGCTCTTCCTGCCACTCAAGTGGCCTCAGCTCTCTCCAGCTTCTCCCTCTCACTTTCTACCAACTCCCCCTCCCCGCCCCCCCACATCCATAGTCCACTTACTGAAGGAGCTTCCGGAAACACTTAGCCTCTCTGAGCCTCTCTTTCCTGCCTGAGAAAGGAGGCGGCTGACCACGGTCCCTTGGGACACTTGGGTAGCCATGGAGACAGCATATGAACAAGCAGTTAGGTCATCAGGCTGAGTGGTGTGTCCTAATCCCTTCTCTCCTGTGGCTCTCTTAATCCTTGCGGCCCTGGCTTACCTGGGGGGACTTGAAAGCAAGCCTCACGAGCAGAACGAAGGAAGACAGAGTGCCTGGCTAGTGCTGGATCCCCCTTCCTGATGGGGCATCTGAGATCAAGGTCGGCTCCACTCGGGTGCTATGGTTAAAAGCCTTCCCAAGGCCTATGCATGTGGGGGGGGGACCTTAATCCCCAAGCACCAGTGGGAGGCTGGATCTCTAACAGGTGATGGACAGAGCGACTCGGTGGTCATGGAAACCACTTACTTAGCGCCCGACTTCTATCCCATCCACTCTCTCCCCATGTGGGGTCTCCTGCCATACTATGGTACAGCAAGAAAGGGCCTCCCCACCATGAGCCATGAGCCGGGCGAACGCCTCGCGTGTATAAACCACCCAGCCTGCTGTATACTGTGACCGCAGAAATACGGACCAAGTTACCTAGTTCACAGCACTGGGGGAACATCCACGTCTCAGCCCTGGGTGCTTTGGTAGCTGGGTGCTTTCCCTGAGCCTGTCAATCCATGGGGATGACCAGGGCATTTGTGTCCAGTCCACTTGGATGCTGCTTCTGCCGTCTCATTCCACCCCTGTGGCCTCCGTGGCCAGACAGCGTGGCTTACCTGGGCACCAGGCATTGAAGAGCAGGGTGAAGTGGCCCAGCACGAAGCTGGAGCCCTGGTAGCCGGTGGAGGTCTCCAGGCTGAGGCGGTACAGCCCGATGGGGGCCTCAGCGGGCGTGTAGAGATGCAGGGAAAGGACGTTGTCCTGCTGGTCTGCCACCGAGGCTGCCCAGCCGCCCTCGCCCACCCCATCCGACAGGGGGAAGCGAGCTTTGGTGCCGGCCTCCTCGCTGGGAGCTGGGCCTGTGGAGACAGAAGGCGGCCGCCATAAACCAGGGTGCAAGGGCAGGACACACATCTGGTAGTGGCAGTTGTAGGGGGGAGAGGGGAAGTGTCCATGGTCTAGGGTCAAAGCCTAGTTCCCAAACTAACCACTGTTAGAACTCTGTAAGAGGTTCTACCTCCCTGAGCCTCAGTTTCCTCATCTGAGCCCCGGCCTTGCAGGGTGGTTTCATGGGTCTGCATGAAAAGCCACAGGCACACAGTAGATCCACAATCAGAACCTGCTGGAAGCGAGGCCAGCACAGCCTGGGGAAGAGGCCCGGGTGCCCCCGCCCTGCCTTGGGTGACCTTGGTTAAGACCATCCCCTCTCCAGGCTCAGTCTGCCTGTTTGGGGTCTGGGCAGGAATCAGGCCAGATGCTTGGCAAGGGCCCCTGTCTAGCCCAGGCCCTGTCCAGCCCGGTCCCTCCTGCTGCTGCACCTGCTTCCCCTACAGATAGAAACCTGAATCCTGAGGACAGGGAATGTGGCAGGCCCTGATGTGCCCTGGGGGAGGGTGCCCGAGGGCTGGCGAGGGGCTCCCCAGAGTGCCTCTGCTGGGGGCGGCTCTGGGAGTTTGGTCCCACACCTCATGAAGCACCTGAGTGTGTCCTGCTGCCTCAAACTGGGGGTCAAAATGGAGACCTAGAGAGGAGGGCTCCAGAGAGACAGGAGGATTTGCAACCAAGATGGCAACTGCACTCAGTCTGGGGGCACTGGGCTCCTCCCTGCTGCACTGTAGCTGGGTCCCCAAGACTCCCAGGTGAGGGCCTGGCCCCTGCGGGCAGGTCTGAGTCACAGCAGGGCTGGGTGGGACTGTCATTTCAGACCTGGGCTGAGAGCAGACACAGCACATGTTCTCTGCCCAGCTGGGCCGATGCCCGGGATGATTTATTTTTAGTCCAATGTCCCTCCCTGCCGCTCTGCCAACCACTGCATACAATACCAGGGCCGGCTCACCCAGAGGCTCACTCCCAGCCCCACGGCCCCTCCTCATCCAGCCCAAGTACAAATACAACTATGAACTCACAGAACAGGCACAAGCCTTGGGAGCCCTGTCTGGCTGCCAGGCAGCCTGCAAATGCCCTTTGCGTTCCAGAGCGGACACTTGGGAGTGCAGCCAGAGAGAGCTACTCGGAGTCCAGCTTCCCGCCTCCAGCCACACGCCCCATGCTCTGGGGGAGTCTCTGGGCCTCTCTGATCTGTGTGCTACTCATCAAAGCTGAAAATGGGCTTGGGCTGTACACCTGGGAGACGTAGCTCTTTCTACGTGTGAAACTAGCTTGTGTCCATTGACCTTGGCAAGTCCTTCAGCTTCCCTATGCCCGAGTGCAAAATGCGCCAACTTCCACCATGGTTGGGAAGCTCAAAGCAAACAGGGCTGCAGACCGTAAGTGCTCCGTCGATGCCGGCCATGATCATGTGTGATTGTCACCACTGGACCCTGGCCTGCCCCATTGGGAGTTGGCAGAATGTGTTCAAAGCGAGGACTGTCCACTGGCTCCCAAGCCTCTCACGTCCCAGGCCAAAGCAGATGGCGTGCAGACGTTTCTTCCTCCAATGAAATCCTTCACAGATGTGCAGCCACAGGTCACAGCTGGCTCAGTGATGTCCCTCATCCCAGCACCATCATGAATGGCGCCTTCTCCGAGATGTGCCTGGTCATTCTGGACACAGGCCAGGCCAGGTTCCACAGCCACCGTCTCTGTGGACACAGCACCCCTGGGACGGGGGGTCAGGAGACATACTTCCCTGCCTCCTCCTCCTGAACAGTGATGCACACTTAGATGTTCATGCACACACAGCATGCACACACATACTCACATGCATGTGCCCGTAGACGTGCATGCGCATGTATGCGCATGTATGCGCATGTATGCGAATGCACCTTTCCCCACAGATGCTCTATGGGGTGATGGGGACAGGCTGTCCCCTGGCCCCACACATCTTGAGTAAGTGAGCCTTGTAACTTCCCAAAGCATTCTTGGTGGACCCAGGGCACCATAGGGACCGCTAGGTCCAAATGGCTTCAGAGCCCAGGGGGTCCTTGCTAGCCAGGACGGGCTGGGGGACGCTGCCTCACCAGGTTCTCATCACCCCTTGGGTTGACCTCACCCCTCCTTCCCCTCTCATCCCCACCCACTACCCCCCCCAAGTTTCCTGAGCGATAAGGCAGCTTGTCTTTCACAAGGTGATGTTTGTCCAGCACAGTTTGTGTCCATCCGGCACAGCTTGCCAGTCCCTGAACCATCTGGAAAATACACAGTGTCTGCACGGCAGGGTCAGTTTGACCAGCTCTCTCCCCTCCGTGAATCTCAGTTTCCCTAGAGTGCGAGCACACGTTGATGGCCAGCTAGAAGGTTCCAGCGCAGCACAAGAGCACAGTGTCCAGCCAGCCCCAGGCTGGGCGCCGACCCAAGCTAGGCCCGCGGGTGGGGGCTCCGCTTCCTGCGATTGTCCCTTTGGCAGCTTCCTCAGCCCTTTAGGAGGGTCCTGGCCTTGTGGGACAGGGAAGACGCTGTGGGTGGGGGTGGGGTGGGGCTGCAGGAGCTGTGGAAGAGACCGGGGTGGCCAGCACTGGCCTGAGATCAGCTGGTCACCAGAGAACAGAGATGAGGCTGCGGTGCTTGCAGATCTCTGTCTCCTCCCAGGGCAGAACCTGGGGCCCTGAGTACCTGCCAGTTAGAGGCCCAAAGGGAAGAGAAAAGAGAAAAGTGAGGGAGTCTGAGTGTCCAGGCTGCCCAGGCTGCATCCATTTCACAGAGGAAGCGCCTGGCAGGCATTTGGGGTTAAATGTGTCTATGGTGGTAGTGGTGGTGATGGGGTGTGTTTTAGTGACAAAAGCCTTCCCTTTGGAGGGGGAGGGGGTGGTCAGTATTTGAACCCATGTAGGGTCCCTCACTGTGACGTGACCTTCCTGAGCCTCAGTTTCCCCACCTGCCAATTGGGCCCTTTATTCTTCCAAGCTGGAAGGATTCAGAGGAAGTACGTACGCCTTTACCATAGGCCTGTGAGTTCTCACCGTCCCAAGCTGAACTCTTCTACTTGGCAGAGGGGGAAACGGAAGCTAGGGGACTGGAGACTTGCTGGGGCCTCACAGCTAATAGAAAAGTCTCTAAGGTTGCTGGTATGGCGTGCCCACTGAGAGAGGCAGGGCAGGGAGGGGAGAGGGGGACGCAGGGGACATCCTGTAGCCTGTGGCTTCCATGATTAGCTTATCATACCACCCTGATGATGGGGCCCCAGCCAGGCGGCTGCAACTCCTGCTTGCTAAGACCTCAAAGAGGGCTGGCCCTTCATGCCCTTGGTCTAAAGCCCCGGCCAGGTGGCCTCTTGTTGACCCCCAAGGGAGTGGTCTCATTCCTGCAGAGTCCAGACAAACTGATTTGGCCCTGCAGGCCACCTTCTTAGAACAGTCAACAAAGGAGTTTGGGCTGGGTGTGGGGTGTAGGGCATGGGGCGGGGTTAGGCTGGTTGGGGCTCTGTGTCCCTGGCACCATCTCTGGAGCCACTGCAGTGATACCAACAAACAGCCACCCATGTCCACAGGCCACCTGTGTCTCCAGGGAAGACCCTCCCCACTTAACAGCCAGTGTAAATGCTGGGCAGGCCATGAAACTCAACTCCGAGAGGCTTAGCAACTGGCCAATGTCACACAGCAGGCAGCCAGCCAACCCACTCAGGATTCCAGCCAGCTGGACTCTTCCTCCCTTGCCCAGATCTGATCTGGGCTGAATCCCAGAGGCCTGATAGGTGGTGTAGATTCCGGGAAGCACTGTTGGAAAGTTGTTTTGGCAGGATCTAGCTGAACCTTTATGGCTGAAGGCCACGCCTCACCACTGGTGACAGCAGGCTTACAAGGACCCAAGTGTCCAGACGGGACAGGGCAGGAAGCCATCGGTACCCACCGGTCACGGCGCTGAAGGTCAGGCTGTCCACACCGGCCTCGTAGCCGCGGCCCTCGAAGTGTAGCGTCAGCCAGAAGGCCTGGCCCCGCCGAACCACCAGCCTGTCTTGGCACAGGTCGGCCGTGTGGTGGTCGCGGCCATTGGCCTCCAGTTCCAAGTCACACCTCTCCAGGATCAGCTCTGTGGAGACAAGAAATGAGGAGATGCATGACCTTGGTGAAGGCTGGTGGTCAGTGGGCCATGGTGCCCAGTGATGCAAGGATCCCAAAGTCTCCCTGCCACTGACCCTTGCTGGACGGCGGCGTCCATACATCACAGCCTAGTCCTTCCTGATTGTCCCTACTCATGGCCACACAGGGCTGGCTGGGGGACCAAGTTCTTTTTTTTTTCTTTTTTGCCAGAACTTGGACTTGAACTCAGGGCCTGGGCACACTGTCCCTGAGCTTCTTTGGCTCAAGGCTAGCACTCTACCACTTGAGCCACAGCACCACTTCTGGCTTTTTCTGTATATGTGCTACTGAGGAATGGAACCCAGGGCTTCATGCATGCTAGGCGAGCACTCTGCCACTAGGCCACATTCCCAGTCCCCATTCTTTTCTTTTCTTATTATACCACAACACAGACCACCAGGAACATGCCAGCAACTCAGCGTGTCTGGGCCTCGGTTTCCCCATCTGAGCCCAGGCCAGGTACAGCAGGGTCTACCTCACAGGGCTGAGGCAAGCATGGAGTGGATCTCAGTAGGAAGCGTGCACTCTGCTTGTGTGTGCAAGCTCCTCTGAGCTGTCCAGGGCTTTGCTACGGCTGACACGGGATGATCTGAAACAGATGCATTGCACAGAACACACCACCAGACCCAGCTTCCAGCCCACAGGAAGATACCCCAGACTGAGGATCAGGACACACAGAACCAGGACACGGCTAACAAAATCCAGACTCAAAGGATCTAGTTTCTTTCTTTTTCAGTACTAGGGTTTGAACTCCTGGCTTTGGGCTTGCCAGGCAGGTATTTGACCACGTGAGCCACACCCCTCAGCTCTTTTGGCTTTGGTTATTTTTTTATTTTATCTTTTTTTGTGTGCCAATCCTGGGCTTGAACTCAGGGATTGGACACTCTACCACTTGAGCCACAGCTCTATTTCTACCTTTTGGGTATTGACTTGGAGATCAGGGTCTCACAGACTTTCCTGCCTACACTGGTTTTGAACCACAATCCTTAGCTCTCAGCCTCCTGAGTAGCTAAGATTATAGGTATGAGCCACTGGTGCCTGGCTTGCTCTGGTTATTTTTGACATGGAGTCTTGCTTTTTGCCCAACCTAGCCGGAACTACGATCCTCCTGTTTATGCTTCCTGACATAACTGGTGTATCAGTCGTGAGTCACCACACCCAGCTTTTTCTGTTGGGATGGGGAATCTCAGAACTTTCTATCCAGACTGGCCTTGAACCTCCATCCTCTCAGTCTCAGCTTCTCAAGTGGCTAGGATTATAGGTGTAAGCCACCACCCTAGGCTACCCGGGTCTGATTTCTTTAACAAATAAATTGTAAAGGTAGGAGGGGGGGAGGGTCTAAGAGATTTGAAAGGAGACCCTCTAAGGGAAAGTGAAGAGACATCTCCACCCACTTCAGTAAGTGCTTTAATTGGATTCTGCTTTCCAATACTATTTCAAAACATCCGGTATGCATATGGGACAACTAGAAATTTAAACAATTGTGGAATCATGATGACATGAAGGGCTTTGGTAACTTGTTTATGTGTACAAAGGAGAGCCTTACGCTCTGAAGGTACTCACTGACATGCCTAAGATGATATGATATGATGTGGGATTTGCCCCCAAATAACAGGGAAGGGGCTCAAGAAGGACAACACACTCAGGCTGGAGAGCAACATAGGGATTTATCATACTCATCTCCCTACTTTCATGTATTTCCAATCATCCCCATACTAAAGAGTTTAAGCAAGAATAGACATCTTGGGGTTTTCTGGTCCTACTTTTCTGTTCTGCTGTGCTATGGCTGTGTGATTTTGGCCAAGTATTCCTCCCTCTCTGTACCTTCTGCTCCAAGCCTCTTATGAGGGCTGTGAGGCCTAGAAGATGATGTGCCTGGACACCCTTCCCTGCGATCCAGCCCTGGGAAGGAACATGATGAACGAAAGTGCTATAGTTTCAGAGAGCCTTGAGGATCTAGACAGGCTCAAGCGACAGGTAGGTGAGGGCCTAGTGCAGGGGGGTGGGGGGGATCCTCATAAACCCTGGTCAGGGTTGGAAAGCCCTTGGGTGGGGTGGGGGAGAGGCAGAGTGGTGGGCCAGGAGAGGATGTATGGCTCAGCTAAGCCAGGGGTAGAGATCTGCCCCTGGCCCCCTTCCCCCGCTCACGCAGGTGTGCTCCCTCTGTGTGACATCCCTACAGCGAAGACACTCGGAGTCCCTGGAGGATGTGGACAACCACAGCTAAAGCTCACAACAACCCCCACTTGCATGAGTCTCCAGTCTTCCCTGCGGTGGCCTCACGTTAGCTCAGAGCTGGCTCCACGCCTACCTCTGTTCTCCCCGTCATTTCCTGGTCATCCTGGGCCTGAGGGGAAAGCCCATCCCTGTGTCATCCCAACAAGAGAACCCTGTGGGTACAAGGAGACACTTCTGCTGGTTTCTGGGGCGACAAAGCATTGCCCTGAGAAAATCTCTCTGTCTCTGTCTCTGTCTCTGTCTCTCTCTTTCTCTCTCTCTCCCTCTCTCTCACACATACACCCCTGGGTGCTTAGGCAGGAAAGAAGCTGTCATTTCCTGGGAGACCTCGAGGATGGCCCCGCCCCAGTCCGTGGAGATGGGGCAGTGGGACGTCTGCTGGGGACAGGGCTGAGGACTTTTGGACTAGTGGGGCCCCTTGGGAAGTAGCTGTGGTGGCACAGAGGATTCAGGACATTACAACTGGCGCTCCTGGGCTGCCCAAACTCCCTGCACCTTCTTTTTGACAGGCATGGGGTTAAGAGGCTGCAATGGGGGCCACTTGCTGACATATCACAGTGTGTCAGTGCGTCAGCCCCTCCTCCCCCACCGAGGGGGCCAAGGCCCTTCCCGCCCCTCTGCTCCCTGTCCTCTCTAAGGCCCCTCTTGGGGGTCATAGTCCGTGCACAGGTCATCCTCAAAGGACTCGCAGCCAGCAGCCCCCTGGGATTCCAGGCCAGAAGCGATCGATTGTCCTGGGAACACCCTCCATGGTAGAGGTCCCTCTTCCACCTGGCACAGTGGCTCATGCCTGGAATCCTAGTGACTCAGGAGGCTGAGCATCGACGTTCAAAGCCAGCCTAAGCAGGAGAGACCATGAGACTCTTGTTTCCACCAAAAAGAGGCAAGTGGGGCTGTGGCTCAAGTGGCAGAGCACTAGCCTTGAGCAGAAGAAGAAGAAGAAGAAGAAGAAGA